AATAACAAATCACATTTTTAATGAGTATAATTTCTACATACCTTTTAAAATCTTTGAATTCTTCTTCAACTCTCACCTTCTTCATCCCTCACTAAAAGAATTTGTAGGATTTCATTTTGTTTATTATTGAAACTTTGAAAAGCAAATTTCATTAAGAAATAAAAGAAAGTAAATGAAAGAGCAAATCAAGAGTTGGAGGTTAAACTTGGGTATACAAAATTACAAAAAACCCCAATTAATTATGAACCATACATTCTTCATATAAGGATATAAAAGTCTTTAATATATTCAACATTTAAAAAAATCAAAAAATTGAAAAAATAGATAAGAGAAGTTTTAAACATTAGAAGATGCCACCTCATTATGCTTGGTTTCTCCTTTAATATATATATATATATATATATATATATATAGATTACTTAATGTTCTTTGGGTTCTAATTTACACCCCTTACCTATAAGAAATGCAAATACAAAGTCAAAAAGTTTTAAAAAATAACATTAAATAACCTACAAATCAAAAAATCATATCTCTCTCTCTCTCTCTCTCTCTCTCTCTCGTTTTTCCTTTTTTAGTTATTTTTATTATTAGACAATAGTAGTAATTAGTGCATGTAACTATTATTTTATTTGTATTATACATAACCCAAATTTTAAATAAATTAAACTAAAAATACAATATATCTTGTTATTTATGAAAAGTAATATATCATTTGTTTTGCAGCTTTATAATTTCTATTGTGTGTATCTAGTCGTATAATTTGTCATAAATAAATCAAATAAAAATCTTATAAATTCAAATAGTAACTAATATTTTTTTTTATTTTATCTATATTCTCATAGAGTATATCATCSATCATTCTGCAACTTTAGAAATTAATAAAATAACTTATCATCTTTTTATTTAAGTTTTTTAATATTCAAAGAATAATCTATTTGTTATTTATCAACCTTTAAAAAATCAGATAATACTCATCACGTTTTATTAAAAAAATTACAACAATTTGGTTTTAATTATTATTTATATTTGTATTCTTGTTTAAAAAACATATTACTTTTTAT